ACACACATACATGCATACATATATGCACACACACATACGTGCATACGAACGTTATACACACATCGATACATCTTTATAGAAACGTGCCCACACACGTATATATGTATATATATGTGTATATATATATATATATATATGCTAGGGGGATCCTAAGATCTACCTTTTAGCCATTTCAAAAGATACTACGAAGCAGCATGGTGTATCACTCGTGCGAGAAGTTGCCGCATGCAGCATGCGATGTGTGCTTGTATGCGTGCCAGTTTCTAGTCTGAGTGAGATGTCATTTCGGATCAAAGGAACACGTTGCGCCGACGACGACGACTGCTGCCATTGACAATCGTGCGAAGACTACGCGGGCACGTTGATCTTACTTTTTCGGCAGCTGGTGGAGAGCGCAACAGGACATATATTCAGTAGAAACGAGACAGTGCGGCAAAGGAATGACCTAATGCTTCGAGCTCAGCTCAGCAGAAGACTACGCGGGCACTTTGATCTTACTTTTGTCGGCAGCAGGTGGAGAGCGCAACAGGACATATTCAGTAGAAGCGAGGCAGTGCGGCAAAGGAATGACCTAATGCTTCGGGCTCAACTCAGCAAACATCTCTCCAGTTTTCGACCACAGATCATGTCCAGTGCTCCAGAATAACCACTGGGCAGAACGGACGCGATCAACCCAAGAGCGCTGGTTAATCGCAGGGGGCCCGCTCCCCATTACAGCACGCACATGGCGCCAGATTCGGTCGATAATCTGCGTGCCACCCTCAGTACAGATGACGCTCCCGTCGGGCATGCGGTGGCGGAATAATTGAACGTACTCGGGGCGCGACCACTTGCCATTGACTTTCTTTTTCTTGTGAACCACAAAGTCGTGAATAATCCCGTCAATGATTCTCTTCCTGTTGGCCCCCATCTTGTAGGAACGGGCGCCGTCGGTATGCAAGAACACGCAGCGACCGCGCAACCACTTCGCCGCCTGGGGTCCCCAATCTTTCTTTGTGATTGGCCCAGGGCCTGGTGATCGCACTTTCGTGGTCTTCGGAGACGTCCTGAACATCACCAACGAAGATGGCGCGCCTCTCTGAACAATCCCACCCCACTGGTGCCATTTCGCCCGCTTGCAGCGCCCGACGTCAACAATTTCCTTGCTTAGATCAACCTCGTCTGCTTCCACGCCATGCCACGTCCGATTGTCCCCAGCTCCGAACTTGTCTCCGGCTCCTGCATTCTCACGAAACGAGAACGAGCAGCGTCCAGACGCGATGCGAAGCGTCTCACGTACTTCTCATCATGATCCCACAATAAATGGCACTGCGCCACTGCGCTGTCGTCAAGCCAACAGTGATCCCCAATCGTAGTTTTGCCTGCGATACCAAAGACTTGGAATCCCTGCCCCACCCCGTAGCAAAGACCATGTGATTCGCATGTGGCAAGATGTGTTTCTGACAGCCCTTGGCGTTGCACCTGTAGCTGAGAGAACCGCTGTCCTTGCGCAGCCGCAACTTTCCGATGATGTACGCGCCGCAGAATGGGCAAAAGTGTTGTGTCCAATCCTTCAAGAAGCCAGCATTTGTTTGCTCATGGACCACTTGTAATTCAGTCAGGCCGTCCAATTTCCCAATGCTCATTGCCCACTTCTGCAGTTTCCGCTTGACATGAGACTTGATGCCGTACCGAACATACGGCGTCTTCTTCCACAGCGTGGAGAATTTCTTTTTGTCGAGCTTCCCAGGTCGCGCATACATGCGCCGTTTTCCTCTCTTTGGTGCTGGAGAACACGACGCGGGCCGCTTGGCAATTCTCTTCATGGGACCACCCTGACCAGCCTTCTGCATGCAACATGTCGATCGTCCACGACCAGACCCTTCGACTTCGTAAGCTGCGCCATCCATTGTGGGGAGATCAGAAACATCGTACCACTTTGCGTAATAAAAGTACACGTTCTCGAACCTCAGTGCAGCTGACACGAAATTGTGAAGTGGCGCCCGCACTTTCGATCCAATAGCGGCATCGTAAATGTCAACGCAGCCCCCGTTCATCTTCAAAGCTGCGAAATGCCCGCATCCTTCTGCATGCGGCTGCCAACGAACGACCTCCGAGTGCACACGAAACACATCATTAGGTGCCATGCCACACTCCTGAAGCAATAATACCGACTGCTCTCTCTGAGAGTCAGCCCCCAATGCTCATTGAAACTGCGAGCGCTGCGGGGGCCGTCGCACGGCGGCCAGGCCTGGTTGGGGGCAACGTCCAAGTACTGAACTGCGTGGTGTAAGCAGGCACCACCAACGTCTGGCGCGAGAGGGGGCGGCAATTCTTCGCGTCGAACGGCGCGACCATGCGCGAGGAGCTGTTCGCTGAGAAGCGGCTTGGCTGACGTGGCACAACTTGCCCTGTACTTGACCGCGGACTTCTCCTGTAGCTCCTCGAATGCATCGCTGATAACGAACGGCTGATCCGGCGATGATAGGATGATCTCGTCGAAAATGCAGTTGTTCACAACCCAGTTGTTGGCGGCGCAGAACTTCAACATTCGCTGCAGCTCGTCGTCTTCGCACTCAGACAGGGCGTAGAAAAACCGCGTCGCCGGTGGCCGTGGCCGCTCCCGAAAGAGCAACCGCAGATGCTGGAAACGAGCGGACTTCAATAAGATGTCTTTTGATTGAGCCACGTCCACGGCGAGCGACAGCAAGAACGGTAAGTTGGCACCTGGCTTGCCGAGGCCGAAGATCTTCGAGATCGCCATCTTAGCCTCGGAAATCTCAACTTGCAAGTACTCCTTGACAAATTCTCTCCAAATGGCGTGGTATTTGACAAAGAGCTCCAGGGATCGCAGCGGGACGTCGTCCATGGCATGTAGCTTTCGGACCTCATGGAGAAGAAGCGCGGGGGAACAGTTCTGGATGTCGACGCTGTAGTTCATGCCCGCCAGAGCAGCCGCGCGCGACTCCTTAGTCAGCCACTGCAGCGCTGGGCCCCGCGCGTACATCCTCCCAGGCAGCCCGCGCCTGCGATAATAAGACACTCGAACATCAGCGTAGTTGCCCATGATATCGCCTCCATTCTCACAGCGGGCAATGTATCTGCGCAACACATCAGGCCTGCGGTCGCTGCCCCCTTGATGGCGAGCCCGAAGCGCGGCCAGGTCAACGTGCTCAGTCAAAGTGCACGCGAGCACGTCGTCATCCCGTGGTTCATGTAGCGTGCCGTCGCAGTCCTCTTCCACAGGTTCTGCAAAGTGCTCTGACATGACTTCGCCGCTGGCCCACGGAGATCCCCATTCCTCCCAAGACCCGAAATGTTGAGAGCCGTATGTAATCAGGAGCTCGTCGAACTTCTTCAAATCGATGTCAAATCTATGATAAGTGCCGCTGCCAGCGGGACGTAGTAAATACGGCCATGCATCAACTGCTTCAGATAAGTATTGCTCTCTCGACTTCTTGCCCGTTTTGCTCGCCTTCGTTGCCGCGCCAGGGATCCCCGTCATCCTCTGTATTGCATGTGCGGCGACCTTGCATGTCCCCACAGTTGCAGCGTGTACTTGTCGAACTAATTTCTCCTCGGCGCTTGGTTCTTGCGGTGCCTGTCGACTGTCGCCTCCTCCATTTGGCATGTAAGCATAAGGGATGAGCTCGACCATGGGGTCCTGCAAGCCTCCGTTGGCCATGCGCTTAACGAAGTCAGACGTGTTCTGTTTGATGCGGTCGTTCACGTCCATCAGGCTCGACACCATCTGTTCTCTGGAGAACTGCATCCGCCGAGGCAACAGAAAGTAGCGAACGTATGCGTGCCGCGCCTCTTGGCCCTCGAGGAAAGATTCCAGCGATGAGTCTTCCAAGAAGCGTCTGTTAGAAACATCGACTTGCTTTTCGTCAGGCGTAAATTGGCTCTCGAGTTTGAGGACAATGAATATGCGCGTCCATGACCTCAGCGAGTCTATGTCATTCGGGTCGCCAACTATGGACGGTAGGGCGGGGTTGAGCTACCAGTATTTCGCCGAACATTCCCAGGAACTATACAATGTGTCAGTCCCAAAATTCGGCCTGCATGGAAGAACAGTGCCACTGATGAAATTCTTCACGGCGCTTTCTTGCAACGGGTTCCCAGCCGTGCACTCTGACATGATGAGGCAAGCGTGGCCCTTGAATTTGGAAGCCTTCGTTTTTTATTGTACACCGGGCTGCAATCTCAAAGGCTGTGCTCGGAGACACCTTGGGTTGCGTCATCCTTGTTTCTTTGAGGGCGCGAATTCTATCAGAAATGCTCCTCCGAATTTTGGTTTCCAACAAGGCGGAAAAACCAGAAAAAGCGGGAAAAACAGAAAAAACTGAAAAACCAGAAAACAATCAGCTGGAACCTGATGTTTTCACATGGATCACCTGTTTCGGAGCCTCAAAATCAAAGGTTTGATTGTGAAGACACAAGGTTTTCTTTGATTTTTGCTGGTTTTACTGAGAAAAAACGGTAAGGCCTGAGTGTGATCCCTGTGCAGGCAAAGGGATCACCTATCATATATATATATATACATATAGATTTACATGTAATTATATCTGTGCATACCTACATACATACACATGCATGCATACAGACAGACAGACACAGACAGACACAGACAGGCAGGCACAGACAGACAGACAGACAGACAGACAGACAGACAGACAGACAGACAGACAGACATACACATGTTTACATATACATATTCAGGTGTACATAAAAGCAGTGTCGTAGTATATATATATATATATATATATATATATATATATATATATATATATATATATATATATATATATATATATATAGGACCAGCCTGGGGCAGCGCCGCCCTGCCGCTCGGAGGGCCCCAGGCGGGGGGGGGGCGGTGGCCTGGAGGCAGGTCCTGGAGAGCTCCTAGAAATCATGTTAGCGTTGTTTTTCTTGTTCCCCTATCATCCCGGTCCCTCCTGGCTCCTGGACAAGGAGGCGGGCAATACAGCAGCAGACACGTTCAAGCCACAGTATAGGATGAGCCCCGTACTTCCAGAGCCAAGCGGCGACGGTGGACAGCACTCCGTTGATGATGGTCCACTTGGCCATTACGATGCTGGTGCGGGTGCAGGGAGGCGAACTGAATGCCGGAGAAGCGCCCAAGGGCGCGCTAGAGAGGGACGCAGAAAAGTTTTGCAGAAGTTCGGGACGCTTCCAGAAGTTATCCCGCAGCATCTTTAAGATTGAGCTCTTCCAGACCTCCAGCAGCGTCGACAGCTTGGCGACGCTGCTGGAGGTCTGGAAGACGCTGTGTGCAGATGGTTGCGGGTGGGTGTGGGCGAGTAGCAATGATTAGGAGGAGGAGGAGAAGGAGGAGGAGGAGGAGGAGAAGGAGGAGGAGGAGGAGGAAGACGAGGAGGAGGAGGAGGAGGAGAAGGAAGAGGAGGAGGAGGAGGAGGAGGAGGAGGAGGAGGGAGGAGGAGGAGGAGGAAGACGAGGAGGAGGAGGAGGAGGAGAAGGAAGAGGAGGAGGAGGAGGGCGAGGAGGAGGAGGAGGAGAAGGAAAAGGAGGAGGAGGGCGAGGAGGAGGAGGAGAAGGAAAAGGAGGAGGAGGAGGAGGAGAAAGAGAAGAGGGAAGAGGAGGAGGAGAGGAGGAGGAGGAGGAGGAGGAAACGGAGGAGGCGGGGGAGAAGGAGGAGTAGGAAGAGTGGGAGGAATGAGGAGGAATAGCAGGATTGTGAAGGATGACGAAGAGGCCGACCTGGAGTAGCTTCCATTTTGCCCGTATTCTACACACACGCGTAACCATTTGGCTTGCAGGCCTTTCTTTCTGCTCCGTGGGATGGCGGTCCAGAAGGCACCTTGGACCGTGTGGTCCGTTGTCGCATTCGTTCTCAGCCTCAGCGTCCCCACGGCGACCTCGATCAATGTTCAATGCGTATAGCCTTCAATGATAAAAGCGTGGTGGCTGTAGCATGCAGAATGGCCTTGGTGTGATCGTGCGCACAGGCGTTCGCACGTTTCGCTTCCACTGTCTGGCTCGCACGAACACATTCACACATAGCGGCACACACAACAACAGCGCACATAATCTCCTTTTCGTTAGCTGCGCTCAGAAGCAGAACGCTCTGGAGATGCATCTAATTCGTCGGAAAAGCAAGTGGGAGAAGCTTCCTCCCAGATCGTTTCAACCTCTGCCGAATTATGGTGGCCTCGGGAACTAACCACAACCTCGCGCATCCCATGCCTACAAACGCCTCTGTTGTGGTACGAACCACTGGCCACTGCCGCCGTCCTCGACCCACGTGCCCCTGTCGTCATCTCTACTGAGTGCTGGGCGTGAGAAAGCTGCGTCTTAAGAGAACAGTCGCGGCCAGCATGCACAGCAACACCACGGACAGGCCGATGACCCCGCTCACGCCTGAGCCTCGACACCACCTCCTGCGCTCCCTCTCGAGATGCGCTGGCATCGGCAATGCGTTTCCGAGACTCCCGCTCACGTTTTTTATGGTTCCTTTTACGGCGAGCTTCCAGCAACTCCTCGAGGGTCCGCTCCTTGGGACGGCGTCCCTTAGGAGCCATCGCACAAATAGAGCCTATCCGCCTTGAGCCGAAACAGCTACGGAATGAATTAACGCCTCTGTGCCGCAAGAGCGGCATCACTTAAAACATAGAAGGAAAACTCACTCCTCAATGTGTGAAGCCTATTCCAAATTCACCTGGTTGACGAAGAAAGGGGTCACATGTGACGACTCTCACCCTCTCAGAATCATCCTCTCACCACGCTCGCCATCCTCCATCCTTTCCGTCCCGACGTAATCAACGCATTCATCATCACAACCACTACTATGCCCACTATCGTCTTCCCAATCG